ACAATAAACGTAGCTAGACGTTTTGACAAGATCAAAGTGTTTACTTTTTCTACAACTCCTTGCGAAGAGAAACAATGTTGATATATATAGAATCATAGATAGCCTATTAACTTGAAAGATATGAAGTAGAATTAGGAAGCAATATTACAGGTTATCAAGTGTACAAAAAAAGAATAACTTGATTTTTTTTTAAAGTGTAATTTTAATTAAAATATACTTTAAAATCCTTACAGAACATACTCTTGTTAAATTAAATGAAATTAACCGTATACTTTTTAACAATGTTGGAGAGGACACTATAAATGTATAATATATAATCATATATATTTTTCAAGAAAGAGGATTGTAATTTACTTACATGGAAAAATGTTACTATATATTTGGTGGTATTAGATCTTTGACGTGTTGCCATTTTTCTTTTTAAATTTTCATTTATTTTTGGAATTCAAGTCCCTATGTGCAAGTATGGATAATTATTTATTTTATACAACTAAATTTATAGTAAATAAATACTTTTAAATATATAAATTATGTTATAATCAAAATTTATAATAAGAAATATTTTTGAATGTATAAATTATATTAGATTTATGATAAATAAGTGTTAATATGTTGATACAATTTTTTTAATTACTGAAATTTCTTAATATACAATTTAAAAATAAAGATGAAAATGATATATTTAAATAAATAAAAAGTTAAAAAAATCTAAAACTGCTCTCATTGAAAGAAAATAATTCTAAAACCATTATCATTAAAAAAAAATCTCTTAATTAAAAGTATTTTCATTTCATTTCAATATATAAGACCTTTTTTTTCAAAAAAAAAAATATAACTCCCTTTATTTTCATTAAAAAAAATATCATGCCTACATAACATTATCAATTATTTATGACTTTAGTATAATGAGAATTTAAAGGGGACAGCTTTTTTTATCTTGACTCTTTAGTGTTGCTGAAATCTTTTCCTACTACTTGAAAAGAGAAATTTTCATGTATTTATTGTGACATGGATCCGTCTTGTGTGGCACATCGTCTAGAGTGCCGTCCCTACAATGCATTGCATGCAAGAACAAAGTAAACGCCACGAAACTTGAAGGGGACCTTTAAACATATCACTATTTTTGCTTTACCCGATGATATATGCTAATTCACATGCTCATTCTCCGTCTCTCCAGCAAAAATTCTATGAAGAAATTCATTAATTCAAAGAAAGAAACATATATATATATATACTTCGATAACATATAACATAACAGACATTTCTGTCTGTACTCTGGAACTGATGATGAGCCCGAACGTTTTTAAAAGTTATTTCGAATGGAAAAATCTAATTATTTTTATCTATGAATTACGAAACACAGTAATATATGTTAAATCAACTAACTTGAACCTCTTTATATCGACAAAGTCTAATAAAAAAGAATGAATAAATAATATATTGAGCAATATTATAAAAAAAATTAGAATTAGTGGTCACAAGAAAATATAGCTAGGAACCAAAAAAGCTAATCTTTGGTTCACTGATTTATTCCACTATACAATTTGTTAATTCATACCGTCTTTTATTGTAAGATGAACATAAAGCAAGAAAAACGAACAGTGGTGATGGATAAAGTGATAGAATTAGTGGAAGAATTACGGATCAAAAGCAATGATCAAGGGTAGCCATTCCTCATCTTTCTAGTCTCAATGCTCCACGTGTATTACGATGATATAAATAAATAAACCTGTATAAAAAAGGTGTTATAATAATGTGCGGGAATATTGGACCTTCAAAATTTGGAGTCAAGGTTGTGTTGTGGAGAGATGGCAGTGGAAAGAGGAGAGCGAATTGGGTTGATCATTGTGGCAAGGTGATGAACCCGAAGGAGGGACAAAACCCTTTGGGAGCATGGCGGAGAAAGATCGTGATTGTTGCATGTTCTTGACCATTTTCTTTCTGTGGTTCTTGTTTCTCTTTATCCTTCTCTTCTTGAAGCGTTCTTGTTTGGTGAAGGAGGTAGAGGAGGAGTGTGTGTTCTTGAGGTAGAAGACTTGGTAGTGGTGTGTAGGGGGGGTGGATGAGGAGGGGTTTTGGGGTTGGATCTCTTGGGTGGAAGAAGTGGTGTAAGAGAAGAGGAAGAGAATGAAGAGAGTTATTGTGCACATGCACTTGAAGCTTTGGTTGAGATTGGCCATGATGAGAAGAATGAATGTTGAGAGGCTAGCTAGTGCATTATTATTTGTGTGTGGAGAGATAGTTAAAGTGGATGTGAGAGCGCCGAGATTGAAGATGAACGGGAATTCCAATGGGTGGTTGAGGCTTTTGAGACCATAAAGCTAGGGAGAAAAAGGAGAGTGGAGATCGATTAATTCTTCACTCTCTGTGTCAAAGGTTAAGACTCTTGTTTAAAGATGGGATCAATTTGTGGGTTTTATATCAGATAATGCTGTCCTATCTCAAATTTTCACAACATATAGGATTCTTAAATTAATAATCGACTCAAAGTTAATTATAATTGTAAAGTTATAATTGGTATTTCTAAACTCTTATCCCGTTTATTTTATATTTTTTTAATTAATTAGTGGACAAATTATGTGAAGAATGTTCATTTTTTAATTACCCGTTAAAAAAGGGTTTATCAAATGAGTTGTTTTGAAATTATGACATTAATTAATTCTACAACCTATATTATTCCTGTAAATGTGGTATTTGGTTGCACACAACATCAACTTTTAACCGATGTTGTATGCACACTTACAACAATTATGTCTTAATGGTTGTTATATATTGTAGTTTTTTTCAAATGGGTTTTTCTTCTGTTATGCTTAACTTTCTTGTTTTTGCACTCTATAACCCAACTCAGGAGAAATAGCCTTCACAATAGTCCTTGTTCTTTCATTGACATCCTTGCCTAGAGTTATTTTATTACATTAATTGTGTAGATAATCCACTCCCAACAAGACATGTCAATGATGCTACCACTCGTATCAGGAGTACTTAAAACAAACTAACACATCGTACCACACTTTGTCCCATGTAAGCATTTAATCAAACACTTTAGGTGCATAACACGAGAGAGAAATAACAAGTGAAAGCCATAAGGAAGATGAGGCCGTTAATGTTATTTTCTTAATTATATATTTATTTAATATCTCATCATTGATGATGTATGTATGGATTTTTAAGATATTAAATAAAATGATACTTTGTATTTATTAAATAATTTTTAATATATGTGGATTAATTTTAAAACATTACTAGTGATGGGAATGAGGAAACATAATATGTTAATCATGAATTGTATGTTATTACATTGTTTACATGTTAACCATACTTATAACTTTGGTGTAAAATAAAAAACTAATAACTTCGTCACATAAAAAAAATTGTGTTACTTTAAGTTTTTAATTGTTTTTTTTATACTTTATTATATATATATATATTTAATTTTCTTTCATTGCGTAATAAATATGCATCACTCGTAAATAATTGCATTATTATTTGAATTATTTATTCTTAGTTTAGAATTTTCTCATTATTATCCTGAGTGATTAATGCCTTTTTACCCTACATTTAGTCCTTTCTTGAAGCTAGATCTCATAATTTGTTACAAATTTTCTTTTATTTCCTTTAACAAATAAGTCATCAGTATTATTATATGAAAAATATAAGTGATTTTCCTTTATTAGGACAAAAAATTTAATTAAATTATATATTTATTTTACTTTACATTACATATTTATTTTTAAAATGATATCAAATATATATTTAATAACTATTTTTTAATAATATCAATTAAGATAATAACTTAAATGCATAAACACATTCTAGACTAAATTAGATTAAATTTTTAAAAACTTGTTTGACAGTTAAAGTGTGATATGATAAAATATACTATAATGATTATTCTACCGTATTATAATTAATTATTTATTGCACCAACAAAATAAATAGTTTTATCTATTTTTTATGAAGTATATATATATTTTTTATCATGAAACAAAATTGTCTTAAGAAATAACAATTAAAACAGAATAAACTTTTCCTTTCTTTATATTATTAAAAAAATATCATTTTTATGTAAAAACAATAACGCTTATTATCAATAAAATTATTATATATTATTATCATTATGTTTCTATTATTATTATTATTATTAATATCATTAAAATCATCATTAAAAATATTATTATTAAAAATATTATTATTATTATTACCACATAACCATTATTATTATAGTCAATATCATTATTATTATTATCATTTTTGTTACTGTTGTATTATCATTTTTATTGTTATGATCAATATTATTATTGTTGATTATTTATTATTTACACGTTTAAATTTGATAATTAAATTTGTAGATAATATTCAAATAAGATAAAAATATATTTTTTATTCTTTGAGAGCACTTAAAAAAAAAAAAAAAAAGTCAGAATCGGCCGCCATCTCTAGTGAAAACTGAGAGACAAACAGTGAAATTGGCCGCAGCCTCCACTCCTCAGTCCTCAGATACTGATTTTTAGGTAAACCTTCTATTTAGGAGAAGAATAACTATCACGCTCATTTTGTCAACGTCACAACTAATCACACCTTCAGGTTTATCACCACGGTCAATTATATATTACACTTTATTATTATTATTATTATTGTTAATTCCTACAAATTAATAATTAACGCATTACTGAATTAAATTTTGTTAATACATTAAACGCGAATTCATCGCCTCCCTGTAAGGTATTGCAGCACGTCAAAAAGAATCAACCCAACATCTATTCAACACATCTCAGACTGAGAAAAAGAAATAATTAATTACACACATTATATGTATTTTTAAATTGTTAAATACTTTTTTTTCATTAATATGAAACATTAAGGAGATTAATTTATGAATTATAAGATACCTTTCCAAAATCACTAATCGGCTTAGTTAAATTAGGTTCGAATTTTGTGGTTTGTTTTAATCTTTTATATTGATAAAAAAAAAAAAAACTTAGGAATAATTAAAACGTAGTCAATGCGTGAAAAGAAAGAAAAATATAGGAGATGCAGGCATTGATCTGAAAATTCCTCTCAAACATTGATTTCAACAACCCTTTTCCCGCAGCGAGAAACCTCTTAGTCTCTGGTGGCATTAGATAATGTTACATAATCATAGAATCTCGCTGCTCCTACGCAATCGAATTCCGAGCTAGATTGTCGTGTCTCAATTGGAATTGGTGATCGGATCTACCACCATGTCCAACTCTCTGCCCTACTCCACCAAAGATGTTGACTACGACAACGCCAAGTTTCGCCACCGTTCCTTCTCCAAGGTAAATCAACACCCAAACGACCTCGTTTTGCCCAATACCTACCTTCCTTGTCTGCAATTGCAATACTCTTCATATTCCTTGCAATGTTTATCTATGTGAATTTCTAATGACCACTTCTATGAGTTCACCCATGTTAAGTGCTTTAGTTGTTTGCTATGTGTCTTGATTTGCCAGGTTATTACTCAGAACTTACTCACCAGTAACCTAAAGCGTGATTGTGGTAGCTGTAGTACAGGGAAGTTTCTCTTCTTGCTGTTGATCTTTGGTGTAGCATATGTATTGTTAGCACATACAAGTTCGGATGGTGTAGTTTCTAATGGTCAGGCAATTGTGAATAGAAACAGTTATGCAAATGGCAGCATTGTTGATGCTACTGGCAAATTGAAGAGGTTCTGGAGACGGCCTCCGAGGCTTCCTCCGAGGTTATCACCTGATGAGAAGGGGAGTATTAATGGCGTTGCCCGTGTATCGGAAAATCCGGATGATGTTAGGTCAATGTGGATTGCTAGGCAACAAAAGGTCAAGGAAGCTTTTGTTCATGCGTGGTCTGGATACAAAAAGTTTGCCATGGGTTATGATGAACTTATGCCGCTCAGCCACCATGGAATTGATGGATTGGGAGGATTAGGAGCTACGATTGTGGATGCTCTCGATACGGCTATGATAATGGGTCTTGATGATGTTGTTGCTGAAGCTGGATCCTGGGTTGAAGAACACCTTTCTAAGAGAATTAGCCAAAAGGGCCAAGTGAATTTATTTGAGACCACGATTCGAGTTTTGGGTGGGCTTTTAAGTGCGTACCATCTAAGTGGTGGGGAGAATGGAATGAACTTGACTCATGCAGGACCCAAACCGTCTGTTTATCTAGAAACTGCTAAGGATTTGGCTGACCGTCTACTATCTGCTTTTACGGCCAGTCCGACTGATATTCCATTTAGCGATGTTATTCTGCATGACAGTTCAGCACATCCCGCTCCTGGTGGACTGAGTAGTACGTCGGAAGTTTCCACTTTACAGCTTGAGTTTAATTATCTCAGTTCTATATCTGGTGATCAGAAATATAGTTTGGAAGCCATGAAAGTCATGGAGCACATGAAGACTCTTCCAAAGGTTGAAGGACTAGTTCCTATCTACATTAGGTATGGAGCTGAACATGACTTAATCAGTGTATTCAGTCGGATGTTAATTTTTAATTGGGGTAATTCTTGATAAATTTGTTTTTTGTTTTGTTCAATTGCGTCGTTGTTTACCCCAATTATTTTTTTTAATCACACTCTGGTTTGTGTCTTCGTTTCTTTTCTGATCATATTTCTAATAACCAAATGCAGTCCTCATTCTGGTGAATTCAGTGGAGAAAATATTAGATTGGGATCACGTGGTGACAGTTACTATGAGTACCTAATTAAAGTATGGCTTCAGAGTGGAGCTAGTAGCAATAGTAATACATCATATCTATATGAAATGTATAAGGAAGCAATGAATGGTGTTAGACATCTGCTTGTTCGGAAATCAATTCCAAATAAACTAGTTTTTGTCGGAGAATTGCCTTATGGATCAAACGGTGGTTTCAGCCCAAAAATGGATCATCTGGTATGCAGTACTTCCTAATTTTGAAGCTTGGCACTGCTGGCAATTTATTTAGTGCTATAGTAGTTGCTTGAAAATATCATTCAGTAGAAATAGTGCAAATGAATTGATCTACTTATTTTGCCATATGTAATATGCTGCACTTGCTATACAACTGTGGATTGGTTTGTTATTAGAAATGATAAATTTGTATTTGATGTCCATGAAGTATGAAATTTGGATTTTATATTGCCTGTGAAATTATGATATTCCAAGTTTCCCATCCTACGGTTATGGAAGAAATTATACAAAATTGAATTGCAGATGCTCTGACAAGGCTGCACTGTTACTACTTTTTACTTTGCTGTAATAATAAGTGTATGCATGTTCAGTGCTAAGTCATTCTTTGCTATACCCATTGTTTAAAATTCATTCCATAAACATTATAAAATGTCTATATAGTTTGTTTTACAAATGAGGAACTAGGTTTTCCTCTTTTACTTAATTATACATTACAGAGTCCATTTTGATTTTTATGACTGAAGCATATAATCGTTGAACATTTTGTCACATGAGGATGTCATAATTGTACTCAACAGCATTTGAAGTTTTGAACACTAAGCCTGATGTTACAAAAGAATGGTGGGAAATTTGCAACCATAATTTTTTGAAGCCTGAACCATGTGATACTGTGATTGGTCCAGGATATTTACACTTGCATTAGCAGAATTGATTCCGAGTAGCAAGATGGGTTCTATGATAAATTTAATGCTCTTAAAAAGCTTTTGTCCCAAATATATGGTGAAGCTTTTGGGTTTAATAGATTTCCTTGAGCTATGAATTGGACACTATGATCTCAAGACATCAAATAGCAGTTCAGTATAGTAGAAAATCATCTATTGATTCTATTCTGTTATTTGCTTATATTTTTCTACTCTCATTTTTATCTATGGAAATTCAGTTATGCACTTAGATCATAATTGTCCTGTTAATGTTAACATGTACCTACTTACATTGATGTAAAATTTGATGATGCCCTTTCAGGTATGTTTCCTACCTGGTACTCTTGCACTTGGTGCCACTAAAGGCCTTACAAAGAAACAGGCAATGGAAAACAGTATGGTTAACTTTGAAGACCTAGAAAATTTGAAGCTAGCAGAAGATCTGACTAAAACATGCTTTGAAATGTATGCTGTAACTTCAACTGGTCTTGCTCCTGAAATTGCTTACTTTCATACTGAGGTTAGTAGAATTTTTATGGCATTTTGGATTTCATCAGTTGATAAAAGATCGCAAACAAATGCAACAATGTATCTCACTATCTACTAATATCCTCTATTTCTGTTCTATGATGCTGCTTATGGGAAGTATTTTTTTTTTCTTTTTCTACTGCATTTTTACATAGCAAGAATGGAGACATGACATCTAGCCTCTGGTTGTATGCTTTTCATACACAGGAATATTCTGAACAAGGTTATGATGGAGGAAATAAGAGTTCAGAATTTGTTAATGACATCATAATAAAACCTGCTGACCGTCATAATCTTTTGAGACCCGAGACTGTGGAGTCATTGTTTGTTTTGTTCCGTATCACACAGGATCCAAAGTATGTTTTCCCCCCTCTTATGTATAAGATTAGTTTAAGTGTATACTTCTATTTCTTCTGGCCATATGTAAGAAACACTGAAAACAAGCTTAATTTTTCTTTTCCTTTTTATTAAATAATCAGATATGAATATCTTGTCTTACAGATATCGTGAATGGGGCTGGCAAATCTTTGAAGCTTTTGAAAAGCACACAAAGGTTGATACTGGGGGATATTGTTCTCTGGACGATGTAACTAGTGTTCCTCCTCACAGAAGAGACAAAATGGAGACTTTCTTTCTAGGAGAAACACTCAAGTATTTGTACTTGCTTTTCGCGGACAACTCTCTAATTCCTCTGGATAAATTTGTTTTTAACACAGAAGCACATCCTATACCAATCAATTTGAAGAAATGAGTTTTATTCATCAAAGTCATTCAACACAGTTATTAGAAATACAGACCGTGGTCTCACAAAGTGAGATGCTTCTTTGAAGTCGCTCTAGCATCTCTTAAACTGACCAAGAGCACTTCTGGTTGTAAAGGAATTGATTAGCTGGGTTCTCAGTCATAATAAAACTGTGAAATACTGTTTGAATCATGCAATACACCAGCATACACATTTCAGAGATCGTCAATTGATTATGACTCATTTTCTTGAATTTATAACCAGCCCTATCGAAATGAGATTGTAAAATTTTGTTTCAAGTCATGAACAAAGAGCAGCTTTTGTAATTGAATTGTATGATTTTCCAATATCTTTCTGGACGATTAGCATTTTTATGATTTGATTACATGGTTATCATCATGTTCCTAAATATGCCATCTATCTTCGTTACATCATGAACTCAAAATTTCATTATCGCTGCACAGAAGAAAGAGATGATCTCCATCTCGGATGACATTTATGTCATCTATCTCTGCATTCTCTGTATTAATTACTTTTGTGAGGTTGAAGCCGCCAAATTTTTCACCTGCAGTTTTGCAAGTTTATAGTTAGAAGAAAGTGAAAGCAGTAAAAAGTTATACTCTGTTGTGTTCAGAATACTGCATCTGTGTTTTGCAGAATCCCTTCGCCCTCCCCTTTCCCCAGAAAAATATAAAGAATCAATTAACAAAAAAATTTATCATTTGTGTGTGTGAAACTACTATTGCTCTGTTATATCCTCAAAGATTACCAGCAATTTTGAGCAGCTCTTCTAATGAATCAGGAAGAATTATTAATTTTCTGTGGTGTCCTGGTGTGGTACTCTTGCATCCATGTAGCAAGTGGATTGTTACCCTCTTCTTGGTGTTCCTTGCCGATTCTCTATCACTTGGACAATTAGAAATTCTTGAATTGGTGTTTGTGTTCATTTTCTCCAATGGGAACTTAGTAGACCTAGTATCATCTTGTCTTCTGTTTCTGGTTGAGCCATTCTTATCAAGGTCAAGGATTTCTGGCTCCGCAATCTCTATTCTAAATTCATCTGACTTCTTGTTTTCACAACTCATTTTTTGGTCACAAATGCTCTTGTTTTTAGGCTGTTTTATTGGAGCTCTTTGCGTCCACCCTGTGGAATTTGGATTAGGATTTGCGTCTCTTTCAAGCAGAATTTCAACAATGTCTAGATTCCCTTTGTGTGCAGCCGCATGAGGATCTATTCTATCATGCTTAGGGATCAAGTTATGTTTAGTGACTAAGTGATCATCATTAGTCACCTTACGCAAACTGGTCTCCGAGTTTCTAATATCTTTGTGCTCTCCTTCATGCATTAATGAATGCTCATGTGAATTATTTGTACACTCGTGAGAAGAGCTTCCTCTCGTGTTACCTCCTTGAAGCAGTTCACGTGGAACCAATCCAGAATCTGTACTTGGATATTCAAAGCCGAAATCTTCACGCCCCTTTAATCTCTGTCAATACAAGATAACAAGTGATTTAGGAACTTGTTGAGGGGGAATATACGATAAATTAAATTTATACATTCCCCATGTTATGTTTAGAACCCTTCAATATCCTATTTACCATTAAAAGGTTATCCATTATAATTTGTGCGTCTCCTGGATTTGCTTGTAAAACATTCATTAAGGATGTTTTGTTGAGTCTTAAAATCTGAGAAAGTTCTGTGGTCCGAACTGTGAAATGCTGTGGTATTTGATATAAAACTCCAATCTCTCCAAATGCATCTACTGCAACTGCCTTCCCCTGAACCTGAATTGTTAATGTGGAGATAGAAAGTTACATTCAGTTATTTCGCCGTGTAATCTGAAGATAAATACAATGTCATGGGTGAATATTTTTACATGATCATGCCCATCGATGCGGCGAACCAGATCCTGCAACAAGAAATCATTTGAAAAGGATTGTTTTTTGTCAGCATACATTCTTCTAGATTTATTTATGGGTTACTAGATCGTTCATGGGTTAGCTAACTCACCACTGCCCCTGAAACCAACACATAAAGTTCTGTTGAAGACTCATTCTGCAGTATCACATCTTCCTTGGGTGGGAAATACTCGGCTTCCATATCTGAAACCTATTATTACAGAGTTACCTGGGTCAGATATTGACATGTTTTGACATTAGATCTTTTTCTTCTCACTCTTAGCTTAACCAAAGAAGAAGAAAACAAAAGGGAAAATGGATGAAAATAAAGACAAAAAGTGTTGCGATAATAAAAACAAACAAGGCATGTGGGGTATTAGTATTACCATCTGGAAAAGGAAATCATGAGAGACTCCTTGGAAGAGGTAGACCTTTTGCACGAAAGGAAAAAACAGATGGTGTGCTATGCTTGAACGAATTGCCTTTGGAAGATCATTTAATGTTTCTTGCTGCTTTAGTCCTTCTGTTTTAAACCTCAAACATATATGTGACAACATTTGATCCTGTATGCGATGGGGCAAGTGATTTCTTGAAGCAAATTCAGAAGCTGCTTTGACTGTGTCTCTCTGTGGCACCAAAACCAATCCTCTCTTCATTAGAGGGAAGAAATAAAATTCCTCTTATCTGAACAAGTTTTTTTTTTTCTTTTTATACGAAAGGAAATAATTAGCTATAGCCGAAAATGAAACTAAAGTGCAACATAACATGAAACTCACAAGAAAATTATGCTAGATTTTCTGTTCAAATATAATACCAAAATCTGGGGCCTACAGAATATTTAAAACTAGCTTTTTGAACATTGTCCTAGATAGTGACTTTGAAGGGTATTATTAAATGAGAAACAGAGTTTAGTTTAGTCTAACGCAGGTATAATAATTGGCACTGATAAATTGAGCAGTAGCAGAATAGAAAAAGCTCAAGTTTGACAGTACATACAAAATTTCTGGTACGGCTGGTCCAGTGCACTACAAGGTTAGTCATGTTTCCAATGATGTATGATGTTAAACCCAAGTTGAACAGCATGTAAGCTATATCAAACAGCATCTCTCTCGTGTTCTCAGCGTGTAAGTCCCCATAGCCAGTGGTAGTAAGAGTCACAATGGACCAGTATATTGCAGTGACATATCTGTCCCATAGACTTTCTTCTTTGAAATTTGGATACACTGCACCAATCCAGGTTCTTTTGGGATCTGGGTACCTATCTGCAATGAGATAGTTAAAGCATCCTGCACAGTGCACTGCAAACAAGGTCACCTGAAATTTTATGAAAGTGGAAATTCAGTTCTATAAAGTACCTTGAAGTTGTCACATGAAGAAGAACAAAGTAATTCTATGAACTCTAGTGGCTTACAGCAATGAGCTTTGTACACCTAATCCAGAAATAATTGAAGCGAATGTCCTTTTCAAGTCTGAAAGCAAAGCAAAGGAGCAAGTGAGCACTGTCATATTCTTGCAATTATAAGCCTTTGATGAAAACCATAACCACAAAACTGAATATGACATGATGGTAAACCTTGCAAACAGAGCACTGACGCGTCTCAAACGCCATAACCGAAACATGTTAAAAACTTTGAAGCCAAGCTCACTACCACGATTATAGAAGAGGAAGCTGAAGGATTGAAACGGTACCGTTGAGCAGACATCAAAAGCAAACCAAGTAGATAAGTACCTGAAAGTTCGGTTTAGCTTTGTGAAGTAAGAAAAGTTGTTGGAGCATCATTGTAGTTTTGAAGGAAGAAGAGTTGATGCACATTCACCTGATAGCAATTCTCTTTGGATCATCAACAAGAAGATACGAATGGTGATCAAGGTAAGCGACAAAGAATGTCAACACTATGTCAATGGCAAAGAAGCCATTGACAATGTTGTCTATGATGAATAGAGCATCTTCCTTGTATGGCAGAAAAGCAAACTCAAATGGGCAAATCCAAGCTGAGTATATGACTAGAACAACCAGTAACAACTCCCAAGCCCTGTAATAAAAGGATATGAGAAGATGCAAGCAAAAGCAATAATCATAAGAGTTATGATGTATCTTCTTCTGACTATATCTATAAAGGGTCATCACCTATAGCGAGGATTGAAAGGGGAGATTATATATCTTCTGAGTCTAGTTTCCTGGTTTATTCTAGCCCCAAGAGATGGCAGGAGATCATCATTGGACAAAAAGTTTCCATGGGGAATATTTCCCATTTGGAATTCATCTAGCCAGAACCTCTGGAAGAAGTTTTTGGCACTGGAAAGCGACATGAGTGTTTGAATCCTCTAGGCTACAGTTGAGGTAGTTAAGTGTTCACAGGGTTGAATTGAATCCTCAGGAATTGGCCATATTTATAGTCAGGTAGTTGACTAGGATGCACTGGTTTTAGATCACTTTTTTTTTCTCCTGACTTTTCCTAGTGTAACCTTTGATAAAGGTACAAGTAGGAAGCTTATGCAACTAATGCAAAATAAAAGAAGATATATTAGGGGGTGGTAAAAACGTGTAGGTAAAA